CTTCGCCACTGCGCCCCCCCCCGCTGCTCAGCCGCCGCCCCCCCCCCCCTCTCAGAAGGCCAGGGGGCTTCCGAGAAGCCCCGCCGCCTTCTGAGAAGGTCTGCCACCTCTCTTCCCCCCCACCCCGGCTCGCCGCCGACCGAGCGCCTCGAGCTGGAAGCGCCTCGGGAGGGAGGTCTCTCGCCGCGTCGGGCCCCTCGGAGCCCCTCGCCGGTTCTCGGGGCCGTCGAGTGGCGACCTGGGATGAGAACTTGGCCTGGGTGAGTCAAGCAGTGGCGAAGCGTCTTGGTTTGCCTATAGGCCCGCCAAATAAGGTTCTAAGAACATTTTGTGGTCTGCACGATCTGGTCTTAGAACATGTCTGGCTGAGTCTGTTTATATATATACTATGTATCGTAGTATCACTAATTCTAGACGCTTCGCGTATCCCCACCAGCCCGTCCAGGAACGACGCCCAGGCGAGTAGAGGGTCGTCCTGAGGGGCTTTTCGGCGTCTTGGGTGCCTCGGGGGGGCCTCTGTGGGCCGTTCGGGATCCTCTTTGGGGCCTCCTGGGGGCCTCTTGGGGCCTCTTGGGGCCATCTTGGGGCCTTTGGGGGCCTCCTGGGCGCTTCTGGGGGCCATCTTTGCCCCTTGGGTGCCTCTGGGGGGTCTCTTGGGGCCTCTTGGGGGTCTCTTGGGGGCCTCCTGGGGGCCTCTTGGGGGGCCTCGGAGCCATCTTGGAGGAGATCGATCAACGAAGGGGGGTTCCCTAATTTCAGTCCCCCCCTCAGGGGCCACGATCCTCGTGAGGGGTGTCGAATTTTAGCCCTCCCAGGGGTCGATCTTGGACGCTCCAGCGCGCCGCGGAACCCCCTGTCCAGGTCAGTGGGGAGGGGGTAGGGGGAGGGGTAAACCCCTCCCCGAAGGGGAAGAAGGAGGGGTGGAAGAGGAAACGCTCTAAACCACCGACGCCCAGAGGGCTGGTGGGATTTGATGCTTATTTTTGGTTTGAGAACATGACAACAAACAACACATCGGAGTTATCTTCTAAGAACAGGTTTCCTGTTATCCCAGCATTTCTGAGAACATGTCGTGGTAGGCCTATAGGAATGCCGGGACGGTCGGTCCCTGCTCAAGGGAGGGTGTCCACACCTCTGGGAGCCCACATTACGAGAATCTCGTGGGGCTCGGGGTGTGAGCCCACTCCCTGCCGGACGGCGCCGCCTGCCACTCGCGCGTTCCTTTTGGCCATGCCTCCTCGCCCCCCTTCCTTCTCCCGCTGTTGCTCCTCGGCGGCGAGCGCGGTGGGGAAGTGAGAAGAGGGGCGGGCCTTCTCAGAAGGCTCGGAAGTCCCCCAGCCTCCTGGGAAGGTCCCTGAGCCTTTCCCGCCGGCAGACTGAACAATACGCTGCCGAGGAACCCCACATACTGATTTTATGTCTTGTGTGAATTGCGCTACCACTACCACCGCCGTCATGCTCTCAGGTGCCCCCTGTGGTCGTTGAAAGGAGGGGGAGGACGTGTGGGGGGAGAGGAGGGGTTGAGGAGTCATCTGTGACGGTCATATCAGGCGTAGCCTGGCACTTGGATACGAGAGGTAATACGCAATCCCGCACTAGAGGCAATGCCTGGACGACCCTGGCACGCATAGGGAGACCACCCCCTGCGCACCCCCTCTGGTGTCGAGAAAATGCCACGCCTGCAATGCCTGGACGACCCTGGCACGCATAGGGAGACCACCCCCTGCGCACCCCCTCTGGTGTCGAGAAAATGCCACGCCTGCAATGCCTGGACGACCCCGGCACGCATAGGGGGACCACCCCCTGCGCACCCCCTCTGGTGTTGAGAAAATGCCACGCCTGCAATGCCTGAACGACCCTGGTACCCATGGGGAGACCACCCCCTGCGCACCCCCTCTGGTGTCGAGAAAATGCTACGCCTGCTATGCCTGGACGACCCTGGCACGCATAGGGAGACCACCCCCTGGGCACCCCCTCTGGTGTCGAGAAAATGCCACGCCAGCAATGCTGGTCGACCCTGGCACGCATATGGAAGACCCCCCTGCGCCCCCCTCTGGTGTCCTGGACGACCCTGGCACGCACTAGGGAGACCACCCCCTGTGCACCCCCTCTGGTGTCGAGAAAATGCCACGCCTGCAATGTCTGGACGACCCTGGCACGCATAGGGAGACCACCCCCTGCGCACCCCCTCCGGTGTCGAGAAAATGCCACGCCTGCAATGCCTGGACGACCCTGGCACGCATAGGGAGACCACCCCTGGACGACCCTGGCACGCATAGGGAGACCACCCCCTGCGCACCCCCTCTGGTGTCGAGAAAATGCCACGCCTGCAATGCCTGGCGAGAGGCACGCATGCAGGGAGAACCACCCCCTGCGGCACCCCCTCTGGTGTCGAGACAAATGCCAACGCCTGCTATGCCTGGACGACCCTGGCACGCATAGAGAGACCACCCCGTGTGCACCCCCTTTGGTGTCGAGAAAATACCACCGTTGCAATGCCTGGACGACCCTGGCACGCATAGGGGGACCACCCCCTGCGCACCCCCTCTGGTGTCGAGACAATGCCACGCCTGCAAT